GTTCCTGGTTTTGTGCCATAAAAGACATTCAAGATCAGAATTAATATTTATTAACATTAGTTACGTGGTATCTCAGACGAGATTTATCAAGACATGAAGTCACATATTAATTAATAAAAATAAGTACTGCTCTACTTTCATTGTGTTTTATCCACCTAATTTTTCCTGTAAGAGTGGGCGCAGCCATTTGTAAATTTAACAGCTTGTTTTGCTGCTTGATATCCCTTACGAAAAAGAAGTTTATTCAAGTGTGCTTTTAGTATACTTCTTTTAAACTAAAAATAGGAAAGTATACTTTGTTTACTTGTTATGTACTCCTCAGAAATATACTTAAAATTGAAACAGTACACTTACAAGTATACTACTAGTACACTGATATTTGTATACTTACTACATAAAGTATACTTAAATATATACTTGAACGTTAAAAGTATACTACTTTTTGGTAAGGGATTGCAAACTGGCGTTTCTTACCACATTATTGTAACGTATTATCTTAATTCTGAACACACTGGTTTGTAGTACAAACAGTTTTCCCGTTTACTGGACTTATTCTTCTCGCTCTTCAATACTTCAATACCACGACTGAGGTGCCCTTGAGCAAGGCACCGAAACCCCAACTGCTCCCCGGGCGCCGCAGCAAAAATGGGCGGCTAATGAACCAGAAGTCTCGCACATTCACAGAAAACGGCTTGCTTCCGCCTTGAAAAATAATTTGGATACAGTACAGAAGAATCCTTTTCATTAACCCTGACTGAGATGAAGATTTGAAATCAAACTTACTGTGATGTTTGTGAGCTGTGGAGCGCCCCCTGCTGGAGGCAGATGCATGTGTTCTGTGGGTACTGACGCAGAAAGCAGGTTTGGACAGACAGCAGAGGACAGATCTCAGCCCAGAGTGAAGGAAGCATCTGGATGAATGAGGCCTGCTTTGACCTACAGACTCGCCGTCTCTTCATGAAGGAATTATATTATTAATGCAGAACTGTAGTTCTTAAGTCTGAGACAGAAATGTTTGATAGATGAGAAGTCATTTTACGAGTTCTGTAAAAGCTTTATTAGAATGTAGTTACAGAACAGGCTGCTTGTGAAGAGTATGTTGTGAACTGTAAGAGAAGCGAGTGCTTAGGGTTAGAGACCAAATAATGATCATATCACTTTGTTAATTTCCTCTGTAACTCAAAGTCTTGCTTCAGTATTTTTAGATGGCAAAGTGATTGTGAAACTATCTGGTTTGACTCCACATGAGTGTAATAAAAGATCACAGAGCTTGAAGTTCACTAGGAGGCTGTTGTGAATGTGGGTTTTGTTTTGGGCCTGGAGAAGCGTGAAGAAGCGGTCTTTCTCCGGCTGTAGAGGCTCAGTAACTTCATTAGGATAACAGGCAGCACATGCTAGAGCTCTGGATCAGATGCTTCATAACGTGACCCTTCTCTTCTCTTCAGTTCTCTTCATCAGGCTTCATGTCCAGCAGACGGACAGATGTTTCCCCTGTACCTGCAGTCCAGGTGAGTTCCTCAGGCTTGCTCTTCACTGGCAGCAGATCACGGATCTGTCACAGGGCTTGATGTTCAACAAAACAAAACTTTAGTCAAGGACAGACCTAGTGATCAGTTGCCTTCTTCTTATATGTATATGAATATGAATGATATCTTATTTGAATTGCTGATGTTGTTATCTGAATGATGAAACCAGATGCTACCGTGACACACTGTTAAATGAATGATTTTAATATATTAGAATGATTTAAAGGATTTAAGCATTAGTTTAATTTTAATTTATGTTTCATTTCAAAATATTCTGTCAATCATCACCATGTCTCGCTGATTTCACCTGGATCGCTTTCTCAGTGCATGGAGACATTATTTTGACAGAGGAACATTTTCATTGTCTTTTCTAAGCAGAAACGTACTTTACCATTATTATGGTTTGTATTTCTTGGCTTATACTTTAAGAGATCATACAATGATTTTGTGTTTGTTACTCTATTTAGCGAATCCTTTATTTTACATACTGTCTGATTGAACAGAATTATTTACATGATTCAGCTTGTGTGAAACATGTACAGTATGATTATTGAGTGACATTCATCATAATAATTCTTTGACTGCAGAGTTCACTTCATAATCATACACTATTTAGTTGTACAGTACCTGTCATATATTCAAATAACGCTCAAAGCTAAAATCAATCTAAAGAGTTTACTGAAGACTAACAAAGAAATGAACAATTATAGGCATGCAAACACATACATAAATAAATACTTTGACATATAATCAGCTAAAGGTCTACACATATGATCTAGAAGCTTTTTCTAATGATAAGTTCTAATGATGGCAGCATTAATCCGATGGGTCGATCGTAATGTGATCTACAGATATATGACAGATAGGGTCACACCTTTGAGTCACTTTGAGGCTAATTAGATAGTAACATTTATTGGGAAACACGTGGACAAAGAAAACAATCCATATCCTCACAAATCTAGAACTGTAGATTCAGAGATAGAGAAGGAGAGAGAAGAAGATGCGTAGCCTAATGGCCATAGTTAACAAAAACATACACATTTATAGACATTTGTAGTAAAGTGAAATAAAGTGTAATGTAAGTAACTATATGTGACACAACTAATGTGTGTGTGTGTGTGAGAGAGAGAGAGAGTGTGTGTGTGTGTGTGTGTGTGTGTGTGTGTGTGTGATATCTGATATTTGAACAGTCACTGAGGAACTCTTTTTGTTTATTTTAGCTAATTATTTTTTCGTGCAGGTATTGTGAATTGTCCATGTACAAAAATTAAATAAACTAACCATAAATTAATTGTGAAAACAAATAAAAATATGTTTCCTTCACTAAAGTGCAGGGGATCAATAGAAAAAATGAGCAAATGCATCTTAGGTTTTAATTTTTTAGGTAAAATAATTATAGCCATAATAATAATAATAACATTTTAAAAATAATAATAAAAAATAAAATAAAATCAATCTTCATCACTGGCCTCCCCATGTTTTTGACATTAATAAGCCAATAATAATCCAGACAATGATACAACGTTCTGTTCCAGTAGATGTAAGACAAACAACATGTCCATACATGACTTCAGTTTAGAGCTTATGATCGCTGGTTTCAGTAATATTGAACATCATGCTGTGTTTATGCTCATCTGCATGGCTTCAGATCAGCAGAGGAGCCTTTAATGTGTCCAGCTCCATCTCAGAGAAAACAAGAGTCCATCGGCTCAGTCATCTGCTTTTGATTATGAATGGAAAATCCAGCCGTGGAAAAAATCTGCAATGTTGCATTAGAAAAAAATAAATAAATCACCAAATCCATGTCGATTGCTGCCATTCACATGTAAAGGCAAACTTTAGATATAGAACATGTCAAAAAACATGTAGAAAGAGCTGCACAATTAGATGAAACCGCAGTAGTGAGGTACAAGGAAATCCACAATCAAATCTAATCAGACTGCATTTCTGCTACTCGTGTAACAGATGCCAGAATCACAAGAGAAGGACTTCAGCTAAAAGAATCTGATCTTCAGCAGACCTCCATCTCTAAAGCTCATGCACAGTGGAAGAGACTGAGAACACACTTGTTTGTTCTATGTAGGAAGTCTTTGATGTGGAGGGAAAAGTAATCTGATCAAAGCCATGCACTGTCAAGTCAAGTCTGCTTTATTGTCAATTCTTCCACATGTACAGCACATACACACAGAGAATTGAAATTGCGTTACTCTCAGACCCTTGGTGCATACAGATAACACTAACAGTAGAACATAAATACAGATATACAGATTAAATATAAAATACAACTATACAAATATACAAATAAGGTCATGTAAAAAAAATTTAAAATAAAGCAGCACACGGCACATGGCAGATAGAGTGCAAACCAGTGAAGTAAACAACAGTGCAGATATAATGATTGTAGTGCAAAAGAGCTTATTTTGATTAAAGTAACAAGAAGCTCAGAGAGCAGTTCTTTATTTAAACTGTCAGAAGAGGTAGTTGAACTCTCACTATGCGCTGAAGTGTCTTGCGGCAGGATGCGTTGCAGGGACCATACCACACAGTGATGCAGCTCGTCCGAATGCTCTCGATGGTGCCTCTGTAGAAGGTGTACATGATGGGGGCCGGGGCTCTGGCTCTTCTCAGTTTGCGGAGGAAGTAGAGACGCTGCTGTGCTTTCTTGGCCAGTGCTGTGGTGTTGTCAGCCCAGGAGAGATCCTCTGTGATGTGCACACCCAGGAACTTGGTGCTGCTCACCCTCTCCACAGTCGCACCATTGACGGTCAGAGGAGCATGCTGAGTGCGCACTCTCCTGAAGTCAACAACAATCTCCTTCGTCTTCTCCACATTCAGAGAGAGATTGTTGTCACTGCACCACCCGGCCAGGCGGCTCAACTCGCTCCTATAGTTTGTCTCATCTCTGTTGCTAATGAGACCCACTACAGTCGTGTCATCCGCAAACTTAATGAAGAGGTTGGAGTTGTGTGACGGTGTGCAGTCGTGTGTGATTGATCACCAATGCCAGTTTTTATTGATTACATTCATAGAGTCACATCATCATTTGTGGCTCCCTGACCTGATTTCCCTTTGCTTTGTCTGCAAAATCACTTTATATGACCAGCATGTTTATTGGGTGAGGGGTCTGTGAATGTTTGTTAATCTAATGAATAATTGTGTGTCTGATTGGTCCAAATGCTACAAAAACATAAATCAAAATATGGGTGCAATAGTTAAGATATAAAATTAAATAAAATAGAATTCAAATTAAAGGGCCATGTATATATAGACTGACTGATGATAGATAGATAGATAGATAGATAGATAGATAGATAGATAGATGCATGGCCCTGTATATATACATGTCATGGGCTTTTTGAAATGTGTGAAGCAGGCTAAATCTGTCGATAGATTTAGGGCTAATTTAAATCTGACGTCATAAATGTACGTTTGTCTCTTTAACGCCGCGCTTCCGGTCTGAGCGGTCAGCTGACAGCCGCCGCTGGTGGCAGAAGGAAGATGGCGGCGTCCTGAGTCTCTGACTGACGGAAGCGCAGGCGGTCGATTCGGGATCACGGAGCTGCAGCAGCCGCGCGTACCGGAGGCACGGAACCGAGCCGCTTCTGACAGCGCAGATCCAGGTAAAGATGGCTGTGCTGCAGTGCGATCCGCGCTCGAGCTGGGCAGTGGTGTAAGGCCGCTTTACCCGTCAGAACAGCACGGTAAAATAGCTCATGATAACACGAGAAGCCTTCACATCAGGGCTGCTTAAACTACGAAACTGTGTGCTGATGTTAGTGTAAGTCTACTCATTATTAGGGTCGTGTTTTATGTAATAATCGGTGTCTTTGTTAAATGGGGGCTGACATGTAAGTTGTTTATTGCTGAGCTGCTGCTCATAGCTAATGGAGAGTCCTCGCTCCTCTGCTGTTTGTGCTAAACTGCGCGCATGAGGGACAGATCCTGATCAAAGCTCATATCTGATGAACTTTACAAGATATTTAATCTCTTGGAATAATTTCAAACTCACACCTGATAGATAGACAGTTAAAACGAGTCAGAAACTTTACATTTACTATATAAAACCATCTTTCAGCAGATGCTGCCGAAGTATTTGTGCAATTTTCCCTGTATTATTTGTACTGTATTACATCATGTTCACAAGCAGGAAAATCCATTCCCAGACCTTAATAGAGTTTATATAAATATTGCATTAATACAATTTGACCGAAAACATGAATGTATATCATCGTTGTCATATAATTAAAAGTTTCTCTCTTTTTCCTTTTATAATTGTGTTAGATATGGTATAAGTGTATAATCTTGCGGCAGTAAGAGAGTTTGTGTGATTGTGCATGAAGAGTTTCTGCTGTGCTCTTCTGGAGCTCTCAGACACGTCTGAATAAATACAAAAGAAAGTAATTTAGTTCGGCTGCATATGAATAGAGTACTGGTTCGTTTAGGGCAGCCGGTCAGCGTTTGCCTTGTGTTGGCTTGGTTTTTTGGTTTCCTAATCATCCATCTTTTTTGAGTTTGTCATCAGTTTGTTGTGATCTGGGAGATGTAGGAAGTGTGTGTGTGTGTGTGTGTGTGTGTGTGTGTGAGAGAGAGAGAGAGAGAGAGAGAGTGAGTGTGTGTGTGTGTGAGAGAGAGAGAGAGAGAGAGAGAGTGAGTGTGTGTGTGTGTGAGAGAGAGAGAGAGAGAGAGAGAGTGAGTGTGTGTGTGTGTGAGAGAGAGAGAGAGAGAGAGAGAGTGAGTGTGTGTGTGTGTGAGAGAGAGAGAGAGAGAGAGAGAGTGAGTGTGTGTGTGTGTGAGAGAGAGAGAGAGAGAGAGAGAGTGAGTGTGTGTGTGTGTGAGAGAGAGAGAGAGAGAGAGAGAGTGAGTGTGTGTGTGTGTGAGAGAGAGAGAGAGAGAGAGAGAGTGAGTGTGTGTGTGTGTGAGAGAGAGAGAGAGAGAGAGAGAGTGAGTGTGTGTGTGTGTGAGAGAGAGAGAGAGAGAGAGAGAGTGAGTGTGTGTGTGTGTGAGAGAGAGAGAGAGAGAGAGAGAGTGAGTGTGTGTGTGTGTGAGAGAGAGAGAGAGAGAGAGAGAGTGAGTGTGTGTGTGTGTGAGAGAGAGAGAGAGAGAGAGAGAGTGAGTGTGTGTGTGTGTGAGAGAGAGAGAGAGAGAGAGAGAGTGAGTGTGTGTGTGTGTGAGAGAGAGAGAGAGAGAGAGAGAGTGAGTGTGTGTGTGTGTGAGAGAGAGAGAGAGAGAGAGAGAGTGAGTGTGTGTGTGTGTGAGAGAGAGAGAGAGAGAGAGAGAGTGAGTGTGTGTGTGTGTGAGAGAGAGAGAGAGAGAGAGAGAGTGAGTGTGTGTGTGTGTGAGAGAGAGAGAGAGAGAGAGAGAGTGAGTGTGTGTGTGTGTGAGAGAGAGAGAGAGAGAGTGTGTGTGTGTGTGTGTGTGTGTGAGAGAGAGAAAAAGTGAGTGTGTGTTTGAGAGAGTGCGAGAGAGTGTGTGTGTGAGAGAGCGAGAGAGTGAGTGTGTGTGTATTAGAGAGAGAAAGAGTGAGTGAGTGTGTGTGTGTGTGTGTGTGTGTGTGTGTGTGAGAAAGAGTGAGTGTGTGTGTAAGAGAGTGAGTGTGTGTGTGTGTGAGAGATAGTGAGTGTATGAGAGAGAGCGAGAGAGTGTGAGAGTGTGAGTGTGTGTGTGTGTAAGAGAGTGTGAGTGTGTGTGTGTGTGTGAGAGAGATAGCGAGTGAGTGTGTGTGAGAGAGATAGAGAGTGAGTGTGTGTGAGAGAGAGCGAGAGAGTGTGTGTGTGCGAGAGAGTGAGTGAGTGTGTGTGAGAGAGAAAGAGAGTGTGTGTTTGTGTGTGTGTGTAAGAGAGAGAGAGAGTGAGTGTGTGTGTGTGAGAGAGATAGAGAGTGAGTGTGTGTGAGAGAGAGAGAAAGAGAGTGTGTGTGTGTGTGTGTGTGTAAGAGAGAGAGAGAGTGAGTGTGTGTGTGTGAGAGAGATAGAGAGTGAGTGTGTGTGAGAGAGAGAGAAAGAGAGTGTGTGTGTGTGTGTGTGTGTAAGAGAGAGAGAGAGTGAGTGTGTGTGTGTGAGAGAGATAGAGAGTGAGTGTGTGTGAGAGAGAGCGAGAGAGTGTGTGTGAGAGAGAGAGAGAGAGTGAGTGTGTGAGAGAGAGAGCGAGAGTGTGTGAGAGAGAGAAAGAGAGTGTGTGTTTGTGTGTGTGTGTGTGTAAGAGAGAGAGAGAGTGAGTGTGTGTAAGAGAGAGAAAGAGAGTGAGTGA